GCGCTGAGGTGGCGCTGAGGGAGCTCTCAGGGCGGACGGTGGCGGCCTGCGCCCGGGGCACCGGAGCCCCGGGATGGCGCGTTCCCGCCGGTGAAGCCCGTTGAGGTGTCAGGGGGCGGGCCTCGGTGCGTTTCAGGCTGAGTTCCTCCTCAGGCTGTGCTGTCCCGCGAGGTTCTAGTCAGCGGGTGGGTTCAACTTACCCCCTGCTCCTTCATCCCTGTTTCAGTTTAATTTTTTTAGGTCATCGCTGTTCCGTGCCCCTTCTTTGATTATTTTTCTTAGTCTTTTTTTTTTGTCCATGTTTTGTACTGGTCCGAGGCTTACCTCAGGAGCTGTCGCCAGCTTTATATTGCTTCGCTCATCCCCCATGCTACAAAACCATCCCACAGTGCTTAGTCATCACGTTTGTGCTCACGATTGTATCTAGCTCGTGTGCTGAGCCTGGCTTGGTTTTAGTTTTCAAGTCCTACATAATAAACTTACCTGAACTCAATGAGAGTACTAAATGTATAAAAATGGCTAACGAGATTGAAGCATATCTTGTTTCCTCACAATTTTATGCTTCCCTGCATCTGTCATCCTGTGTTAAGTAACTGAGGTAAATTTGCTGAATCAGAATGAGGGAGCAGAGGAACGGGGCTGCATATGCTAGGAATGTATATACTAGAAAAAGGATATAATATCGGTTAAAACCAGCCCTGTGGTCCGGCGTGAATGTGCCACGTAGCCCAGTCCTGTGGTCTGCTGCAGCCAAAGTTACTCAATATGATAAAGAGGGACCCACCTCCTGTGGTCTACCACAGGCAAGGTTACTCAAGATGATAAAGAGGGACCCGCGGCCTTCCTTCAAAACAACCCCTAACGACCACCATTGCACACGCTCAAGAGGAGGAACACCTGCTTGAAGAAAATTTAAATACGAGATGAACAAGGGGTGATGAATATTAATGTAATAGTTGTGAAACATGATAAATATGTAAACTAGCTCTGTATAAATAAAGGCCAAAAGGATGTGACCTGGTGCGCCTAGGTGGAGCTGCGACTCCCCGGCCGCCCAGCGCTGCTTTTGCTCCTTCACTTTAAATAAACCCTTGATTGGACTTATGAAGTAGTGGTCTGTGTTTGACCATAACAATCCCAACGATCACAGTTTATCTTCCTTGGTTTTGTGGCTTTCGAAACACCCCATTTATGCTGCATACTGTTCTGAGGAAATGCTGGCAGGTCACATCCACTCTGAAGGTAAATTTCATACTTGCACTCAATTTTAAATGTGGTTAGGTATTTAGACATCATTGGACTCATAATGTCTGCTTAAATATATCAAAGGATCTGTAACTATTACAGAAAAAGCAGTTTGGTATACACAGTTAAGTTACCATCCATGCAATTGTTTTTGTGATGATAAATTAGCATATGGTAAATTAGCATGTGTGTGAACCTGGCCATTAGGAATATTGGAAGGGAGCGCCTGAGGCAAGAGAACAATCCTTGTTACTGTTGGCAAATGATATTAAACTTTAACTATGTGAAGTGGGTGCCATCATAAAACTGTAGCTGATCTCCACTCTCCTGAGCTTTCCTGCATCAAATGACTCAGCCAGACCCTTCCTTCTGAAAACTCCACTCTAAATACTTTCAGAGGAGAAACTGTAGTATACTAAAGGAATGTGTGTTTACATCAGAAATAATCACACTGAATTTTTACTATTCTGAATAATAAGGTCCCAACGGTCCTGCTATGGCTGGGGTTTGAAGATTTCTGTTTTCCACTAAGACTGTGATTCAATACCCATTAGTGTCTTTGCATAAATCAGGTCACGGACCTCGTTCTTTCCTTAGTAACTGTTTTAATTATTAATTGTGTTAATAATATGTTGATACTAATAGTTACATAATTATACTTATTTTTTATTTAAATACTTCATGGCACACAATAGAAACAATGGTAGATTTGTTGAGCTTACATTCAAAATTCTTTCCTACTGCTTAGGCTAGGAAAAGATTTTGCATTCCTTTGGAGGGGAGGATCTAACTCTACAAAGCACAATTTATGGAAGTATCCAAAGACATATTTTGGGGGGACTGTATGATATTTGACATCCTGACTAAAATGTTGGGGTGCAAATTATATTAGATGATCGTTCACCTATTTAAGTATTGGGTCTCTATATTTTTTAACTAGTTTAACTAATTTGGCACATTCTCAAGCAGCAGTGTGAATAGGTTTACTATATGTTCTATTTTTTGCTGAAACTTAAAAAGGGTCACATTTAAATCATGGGACTGTGTTTGTTGCATGCTGCTATAAATAGTAACTCCTGTCTGGGTAGCAAAAAATCTAATTTGATTACTTAAGAATTTAAATTAGCTGACAAAGGAAGACAGTAGAAGGAGCTGAGATTGCTCGACTAGTTCTTCTTGTCACCACTTAGAAAGCTTAATGAGAAAGCTTTGAAATATCTACACTCACTTATTGGTCAAGTTTATTTTCTAAACTGTTCACCTTCTTTATAGCTGCCTGCAAACTCAAGAAAAGAAAAGATCTGTAATTCTCTATAATTTATTTTATTAAAAAGATGATCAGAAGAGAGTAGGACAATGGTGGCTCACCATTAGAATCATCTGGAGGAAAGCGTGAGTAAGCACGTTTAATTGAGATAAGGTGTTATAAATGAAAAATATTAGCTAATAAGGAAGACCCCCCTATCCCAGCCTGCCTTTAAATTGCATTCAGGATCTTAACTGAGTTGGGAGTACCTCAGAGCTGGGGGAAAGGGTGGTATGCTTTTATGAATTCACTAGGCTGATTTTACTAGTGCCTGTTTGTTTGGAAGTCTTAAATCCACAGCTCTGAAAAATATGTAATTTTTATTATCTTAGAGCAAGTCTAATTTTATGAAATCAAAATAAAAGCAAAAGGTCCTTAAATAGGTTTTATTTAAGGGCTGGAGGGATGGTATTGACCCAGAATGTACTTATTCTAATAATTTAAGTAAAAAAGGGAAAGGTTGTAAATAAATAGACTTGTAACCTTTCAGAAGGAAGTTCTTGTACTGTTGACTAATATTTAAAAATAAGGTAATAACTTATTTGCTTTATCTGGAGTGTTTTTGCTTGAGTGTTTGTGTATTAGAGGAAATTCTGGAGAATAAGTCTGTTAGAGTATTGCAGAATCGTCCGTCTCAATCTTATCAGCTCAAAATTTTTCCTTGAGGTCTCCAAGGTAGATTTTGTTCTTATAACTTAAAGGCCTTGTTTTCCAACTTTCCTACAACTGTGTTCTTTGCTGTATTTCCTTAACTGGCTTTTATGTGTTTTAGATTAAATCTAAAATTTATTTTTTTGTATCTATTACTGACTTTT